TAAACTCCCCATTTTTATATGGTTAAAAGCTATTTTTCAAATACCTTTTAATTATTCAGAGAGACAATGTAAGATAGCCACTGGCAGACATATTCCACTGATTACTCACATCCATCCTCTTCGGAAAATCCCCTCTACCTAGGAGAACCCTTTCTGTGCCGACGCTGGCATTCCCTGAGTTTCATCCCTCAGCATCCTAAGTAAAAACCAAAAGAATCATACTCGTTTGCTGTCGAGTCAATTCCAAGTCATAGCGACCCTATAGGACAGAGGAGAACTGCCCCATAGGGTTTCCAAGGAGCAGCTGATGGATTCGAACTACTGATTTTTTGGTTAGCAGCCGAGCTCTTAACCACTGCACCACCAGGGCTCCATCCTAAGTATGGCCTGAATAAAGTTGCCCAGTAAAAAGGAATAGTGAGTATATTCTAGAAATAAAGACTTCATCCACTGAGATGATACTTCTAATTTGACCCTGAACTTAGTTCAGAAAGATGGTTTTCCAACAGAAGGTCTTTTATCCTCTGCCCAGTGCTAATTCTATTGTCATTCCCAGTTATACCAAACTAAGGTCATCTGCGTAAGTATACTGAAGTACGTAATTGGGTTTTCTTTTCTATTTGCCCTTAGCCTGTTATCTGGAACCACTAGCCAGGACTCTTTCTGAAAATGCCCTACCTCAGTCTCAGATGTGGAGTAATAATCTCATTCCATTTATACCAAATGTAGGAACAAATTAATTGTCCCCATATCTTGAAACCCTTGAAAATTACTAGGTCATTAAAACAAACAAAAAAAACCCAAACCCACTGCCATCGAGTCGATTCTAACTCATAGCGACCCTATAGGACAGAATAGAACTGCCCCATCAGGTTTCCAAGGAGCGTGTGGTAGATTTGAACTGCCGACCTTTTGGTTAGCAGCCATAGCTCTTAACCACTACGCCCCCAGGGTTTCCTCTACATCATTAGAAAACAAAAATGAAAGAATGGACTGCTCAAAAATTTACTCTGCAGCTACATTAGTGGAGATGGTGCCATATTAAAACTCAGCCAGAATGTTCAGATTAGGTGAGCAGTCCTGTTGGTTCACCATACAAGGGGTAGTAGGAAGACTCCCCAGGCCCATGAGGCATCAGTTTCAGGCAATCTTACCACCCCTTTATTCACCAGGAAGACCCTAGATGGAGAAACTATAAACTAACTTAAGGGAACAGGAAGCAAATCTGGGAAAGGGTCAGAGATTGATAGCGCAAATACTCCAGGTTACTGACTAATTCTAAACTTAGATCAAAAAGTAGAGCTGGTGCGAGGTGGTTTCCCAAGGCACTGTACTAGGTATTCAAAAGAGAGTGGCAAACAACGCAAACATGGCCTCTGGACTAAAGGTGCTTAGCCTGGGACACCAGAGATGCCCAACCCCAACTGGTCCAGTCTCCCCTCCTAGCTCACCAAGTGATTCCACTTACAGCTGGGCGAGGGCCTCAAAAGACTCAAATGACTGCATGGGGTCCTTGGAGGACTACCAGTGTATCAATAGACCACAAGTTCTCTGAGGGCAAGGGTTGTCTTTATGTTTCCTCTATTGTTCTCAAATAGAAATCACCCAGTGATTGCTTTTTTTAATTTTATTACTCAGATGCTGGTACCATTTACCCCAGATCAAGTGGTTATTTATTTTTGAGACCATGGATCTTGTAAACATAGTTCCTCACATAAGAACAGTTTATGTGAGCTGTTAATCGGCAACACGTCTCTAGCAAGTCAGAAGTGTCCTCTAAACAGTCTGGCTTAAGGCCTAAGAAAAAATTAATTTGTAAGTCTCCCAATTCTCCCATAGTGAGACTCTTTGGAGAGCTATCATTACCTGGGCTGGAGAACCCATTGTAGGGATTACAAAAAGCTCCCACCCTCCCTCTGTCCGCTGCCCTCATAGCTGCTCCTGATTTCTTCTTGTCTTCTGTTATACAGACATGTTATAAGGATTATTCAGTTAATACATCTTTTTGATTGTTGTAGTTTAAATGAAGTTTACATTTCAAGTTAGTCTCCCATACAAAAATTTATACATATATTGTTATGTGACCCTAATTGCTCACCCCATTCTGCGACAGCACACTCCTCCTTTCCACCTCTGATTCCCCATGTCCATTCAACCAGCTCCTAACCCTCTCTGCTTTCCCATCTCACCTCCAGATAGAAGGTGCCCATTTAGTCTCCTGTATCTACTTGAGCTAAGAGGCACACTCCTCACTTTATGTCCCACAGTCCAGTCCAATCCCCGTCTGAAGAGTTGGCTTTGGAAATTGCTTTAGTTCTGGGCTGATAGAGAATCCAGGGGCCATGCTTTCCAGAGTTCCTCCATTCTCAGACCATTAAGTCTGGTCTTCTTACTAGAATTCGAGTTCTGCGCCCCACTTTTCTGCTGTTCCATCAGTGACTCTCTGTTGTGTTCCCTGTCAGGGTGGTCATTGGTGGTAGCCAGCCACCATCTAGTTCTTCTGGTCTCAGGCTGATGAAGTCTCTGGTTTATGTGGCCCTTTCTGTCTCTTGGGCTAACATTCCTTATGTCTTTGATGTTCTTCATTCTCCTTTGCTCCAGGTGGTAGGGACCAATTGATGCATCTTAGATGGCCGCTTGAAAGCTTTTAAGACCCCAGACGCCACTCACCAAAGTAGGATGCAGAACATTTTCTTAATAAGTTTTGTTATGCCCATTGACCTCGATGTCCCCTGAAAGCATGGTCCCCAGACCCCTATCCCTGCTACTCTGTCTCTCAAAGTGTTTGATTGTATTTAGGAAACTTCTTAGCTTTGGTTTAGTCCAGTTTCAATGAATACATGTTATTAAAATAATATAATATGATCAAGATAGTTAGAATGGACCTATAGCTAAATTTTGAAGTAAAATGTTGTTTAAATTGTTGAGATCTTAAAGGGAGCTATAAAAGGCTAAAAAGCAACAAGACAAAAGGCAGTTAAGAAAAATGTTTAAAAATTGCAAATGAAGGGTTCAAAATGTTTTAGAGGTAAAATAAATAGCTTAATTTTTTAAATGGCTAAGCTTTAGTTCAAGGTCCCCACAAATGGTTTGCGTTCAACTACTAACCTAAAGGTTGGCATTTCAAACCTACCCAGTGCTACTGCAGAAGAAAAGGCCTGGATATCTGCCTTGTAAAGATTACAGTCAAGAAGACCCTATAGAATAGTTCTACTCTGCAACACATGGGGTCACCATGAGTCAGGATCAGCTCAACAGCAACTAATAGCAACAACAAGGGTTAGTTCATCTGAACTAGGTGACCTAGATGGGTTCTCTGAATTGTCTCCAGTTTGGTCCTATTCAGGATAGGGTCAACCCAGAAGACCTTCCAGCATTTGCCCAGGGTTCAGAGGAGTAATGGGCAGCTTTATTAGTTTTCTGGGTGGATCCAAAGTGGTAGAGTAGTGGCCTAAGCCTCCTGGAAACTCTGCCTAATACTCTGGCATTTGACCCTCATACTCTCTCCCCATGGATGCCCTAGAAACACAGAACTTCCTACCTAGCAACACGGGAGCACAGGCATTGGCCAGCCTGGGAGGGGAGGAGGATGCCTGAGGTCTATCTAGGCCTAACCATCATGGTGACCATCACACACCATTGGTAAAAGGGTTTCAGAGATTTGACAAGAAATTACGTGTGTGTGTGTGTGTCTGTGTGTCTGTGTGTGTCTGTGTGTGTTTCTATGTTTTATCTCAGCCGGCTAGCCAAATTCAAATGACCCCCACGCCCTCCACGCAAGTGGACTGACTTGGCAGCTGGTAATCCTCATGAAGCAAAAACTAAGATCTGTTCTGTAAATGACTGAAAAGTATCCTTTTCCTTCTATTCCCTTTCCTCGCCCTTTATCTCCTCTACCACCATTCCCAAAAAAGGACATCCTACCAATTTGCTATGGGGAAAAAAAATGACTTTGCTGAGAAATCTGTTACCGAAGAAGTATTTTCAGTCTGCAAGAAAATGTCTAGTTGTGCACATTTCCATCCTTCAAAAATTCCCTTACACGTTTTCCTTGTTGTACTTTAAAAACAGAAACACAAGAGCAACCATCTGAAAGTGGAGGGTAAAAGCAAGTCATAACCTTCTAGAAAGAGTTAACATCTCAGATGTTCAAGCTAAGTCAGGGGCTGAGTTCTTTGTGCTTGAGCCCAAAGAGTAGGGACATCACTGTGGATACAGCCTCAAGGAACTAGGGAGAGAGTTGGCAGTGGGGTACTAAACTGAGGCCAGTTTCCTCAGGTTTTACCCCAAAATGAACATTTTCTTAGGATGTTAGTAATAATATCCTAAAATGTAGATTTTCAAGGTGAAAAAAAAATTACACATATTATTTCATGCCAATGGCCAAGGTTCTCCATACCTATAGAATAATGAGCCTAATCCTTGAGGACTAGCCCCTGCTACAGAGGTGGTTGAGAGGCATCTCTTCAGATCCTCTTCAGTGATAACTAGAATTCAGTCTTCCCTAAACCTAAGAGGCCATTGCCTTTGGGCTCCTTTGTTTATATATGTATGGGCAAGGATAGGCACTGGGCATAGGTAATGCCTTTCTCATTCTGCTGGCACTGCCTGGAGTAAACTAAAGTGCAAGCCCCCAAAGGTTATCTTAGGACAGACACATGGTTAATAAAAATTAAAATTAAAAAAGCCTCCATCCACAAATCCAGAAGTCCTCATCTACTCATGTAACTAAGTGTGAGTCACTTAATTTGTAGCCAGAGATGGTCATAGGTAGGAGAATGCCTAATGGGTCCTTGCGAGACGTGGGACCCAGCTACGCAGAGCTAACACTCATGGGGATGCCCTGGAACCTGCCAGGCCTACGCTTTTGTATTTCTTTCACTTGTTTCCTTTTGCCCTCTCCTGCCACTGTGTTGCTCCTGTGTTAGCCAAGACCTAGAATACCGGGCATCTTCGTTGGAGACTCATTACAGCTTATCTCTATCTGCCTTTCTTTAAAGCCAGCTGAACATACCCAATGTTCTCCCTCTATGGTAAGACCGACCCTCCAGACCACGCTCCCAGCTTCTGTGACCCCCTCTAACACCCCCCCACTCTTACCCATCCCAACTCCAAGAGTCTCTTGGAGTCCAGCCTAGCTCCTGTTGCATGTAGCCACCATGTCTGTGATGTGCCTTGCCTGCCTGGTCTTTTGTGAGCTGTGAAAAAGCTGTTTGTGTAATGGTGTTGTTTTACTTCCCTGAGCTTTCCCTTGGGTGATAATTCACTGTGATCCTGACTGTCTAATGAGCCACTGGGAGAGAATTGGACCCAAGGGTCACTTCCTGTTAAACATCCTGGGGACTTCACTGGCTAAGGTCTCTAACCTTAATCTGATGTGGGAAACTTGTAGAAGCACCTGTGAGAGCCATGGGAAGGGTCTCCAAGGACCGAAGGAAAGACAGAGAAGATCCAGCCTGGAGATGGAAAGGCAGATGGACAACTTCCGAATAATCATGAAGTGTCTATGACTACTAGCTCCCCTTATGCTCCGAGTCTAAGCCCACAGTAAAAGGTTGAAGCTGGGATTTGTTACTGAGGGGGTGATAGAATTTCCAGTCACTCCAACTATGTTGTACTCAATTTCCCCAAATTCCTGAAGTTCATCAGAATTAGGCTATACCTGCTTCTCTGCAGTAGGCTAGAAGCAGAAAAGGGGACTAGGTGGTTTGACTGGACCATTTCTAATATAGAAGTCTATGAACCGCTTTGGCTAAAGTGACCGAGATACCGCTCAGAGTGACCTTGGAGTCTCCTTGGAACTGCCCCCTCCAAAAGGATGCAGTCACATACATCAAAAGGAGACCACGTATGTGTTTATAAAAGTACCAGTGGATTGATTCCTTGAGCCCCCACAATCAACCAACTGGGGACAAGATTGGGTCAGTTGCTGGTGTTCCCCAAAGCAGCCACCCCAGCCTTGTTGAAAGGCAGCCAAGGGAAAGGCTGAACTCTGGAATATTCTATCACTCTCCACAGGGGCAGCCATTTGGACCAGCTTCTTCATTGCCTTGTCATTCAGTTTATTAGCGGAAACTGTCGTGTCCAAATGGAAATGTGTTTGTTCTCCTTCTAGAGCAGCATTAGGAAATTGCTGTGACTGACTGAAGGTTCTGAATACCAGAGTGGAATTCAAAATTTGACCCAGAAATAATTAAAAATAAAGCAAGAGGAGAAGTGAAGCAAGTGAGAGGAGAGGGCTACACGAGGATTCCAGTGACAACCTCGACTCCCTTCCTGCCTGAGGGAGGCATGGGATGGGGCCAGTAACAGGAAACTCAGAGGGTCCATTCTCTCCTGGTGCTGACAGCGGGAGGGGCTGGGGCTGGGGCAGGGCGGGGTGAACTGCACTAGTTCTAGGGAAGGGGTGCCACCCATCCAACCGGGTGTGGCAGGAAGAGGGTCTCATTTCTGAATGCAGAAGATGACAGGGGCAGGCTGTCCTGGCCCCTGATCCCTGGCCAGGGAAGTGCCCAGGCCCCTAGGCTCCCCGGGGTCCAACCAGCTGAGGGTGAGCCTTTGGCCAGCAGACCCCCAGCAGCCGAGGCATCGGATTCCCACTTCAGCTTGTCTCGGCCTCATTTCCACTTCCCTCTGTGCCTTCCCCTCCAGGGCTCCGCAAAGGGAGATGACCCGCCCTGAGCAGGACCCCCTTGTCCCTCACATTCCAGGAGCTGTCCAGGGCTCACTCCAAGTGACTGCTTCCCCCCACCTCACACCTGTCCTGCTCTCCCCCCACCCCACCCCCACCAGGGCCTTGTGCAGCCTGGAGAGGGTTGAAGCCTCTTAGAGGTCCCCCAGGCAGGGGAAGGCGGGCTGCAAACCAGACACTCCCCAGCACTAAGCAACACCTCCACTCTCCCGGACCCTTCCCACGAGGCCAGTGTGGGGCAGGGACTTTGTGAGCTAGAAGGGGATGACACAAAGAAGTGTTGGAGTCCCAAGCAGCCAGGGCATGAGATCCCTCCAGTGGGCAGCCAGTGTGGACCCCCCCCTGAGTTCTCTGCCCACCCTGCCTACCAGGACCCCCAGTGGAATCATCCCTAAGGCTGCAGCAATGGAGGGCCATCTGCTCACCTAGCTTAGCAGAGAGCCGGGTCCTGTTTGGATCAGGAGCCCCAGCAAAGCCAGGCAGGTGAGGGGCTGGGGCTGCCTCTTCAGCATCAGGGGCTGCTTGCACAGAGGGCAGCTGGCTCTGGGCCTAGAAAATTTCAAAACATTTGGAAGTTCCTTTGGAATCTTCTGCTGTTCTATCCAGGGGATTAAGAACTAGGAGAGAAGAGGAAGAGGAAGAGGAGAGAATAGGAAAATCGGGCCCGGGGCTTAGGGGCCTGGGCACAGCTTGACTCTGCAGAGACCATGGGGCTGGGTTTTTTACCCAGAAAAGATGGACAGCCGACCTCCCACATGTGGGCCAGGGGAGGGAGTCAAGTGCAGCTAACCCCCGCCCTAACCTGCCTCCCCACAACCAAGGGCTGCGTTTCTCAGAGCAGGGCCCACCCCATTCTTGCCCCACCCCTCTCTGTTAACTACTACCTCCTATTGCCGATGGATTCCAGAACGCAGAGGAGAACTCCCGTATCTCCATCACCTTCTTCCGCCTCTTCCGGGTCATGCGCCTGGTCAAGCTGTTGAGCCGTGGCGAGGGCATCCGGACCCTGCTGTGGACCTTCATCAAGTCCTTCCAGGTAGCCTACACCACCTCCCCACCCTAAGCACAGCCTGAAGGAGAAATGCCTCCTTACCTCCCCGGAAGTAGGGGTGAACAAGGGTATCCAGCCCAGCTTCCACCTGAGGCTCCTGAGCCATGCGTCACCCAGTGGGAGGCCACGCAGTGAAGGAATGGACACCACTCTAGGATTCAGATGACCTGGGGCCAGTCCTTACTCTGGGCACTTACTAGCTGTGTGATGTCAACTCTGCCTCTCTGGGCTCTGCTTTTCTCATTTCTAAAATGAGAGGGCTAGACTAGATTTGTGGTTTTCAAAAGCATGCACCTGGAGTGCCAGACTTCCCCAAAGCCAGGGCAGGGAAGGGGGGACATGCAGGGGAGGCAGAAATGGTTCTGCTCATCTCTCTCATTTGTGTATTTCTCCGCAAGACCTTACTGGACAAAGGGACATTGTGGTGTGGGACACACATGGAAATCACGGAGAGTTACTCTCCCTGATAATCTCATAACTTCTGTGGCCCTTCCAATTCTAGCATTTTTAGCATCTGGCTGTCACCTTCCTCCAGTTGGCATTTCGGCCATGCTGGCAGACTGTACCTGTTTGTATACTTCCCATGCTCTCGGGGACCCTGGTGTCACTCCCCTTGAGGGGAGAGCATCCTCTCATAGGGGCACAGGGTTGCCTAACTACATAATTAATTCTCTTTTCTCAGCCATAGTTTTCTATCTGCGAAAACAAAATAGTCACTGCCCTTGGCCAGCTCTGAGGAAAGTTATGTAAGTCTTAAGTTAAAAAGCAGCAAAGCTCTGTTAGCTCATTTGGATTCCTTGAAGATAACTGGAGTAACCAAAAAAACCCAAACCTGTCACCGTGGAGTGGATTCTGACTCATATCAACCCTATAGGAGAGTAGAATTGCCCCCATAGGGTTTCCAAGGCTGTAAATCTTTTCAGAAGCAGACTGCCATGTCTTTTTCCAGAGTGCAGCTGGTGGGTTCAAACCACCGACCTTCTGTTTGGCAGCTGAGCGCTTAACCACTGCACTACCGGGGCTGGAAAAACAAACCCATTGCCGTCAAATCAATTCCAACTCATAGCGACCCTGTAGGACAGAGTAGAACTGCCCCAGGAGCTGGAGAAACCCCTAAATATGGCTTCTAGCTTCCTGCCCTGATACTAAGGGCAGGCTTCTCTCCTTCCATGGAAGTACCACTGTCAGACTTCTCAAGACAAAGACACTCTCCAGCACTGGAGAATGGCCCTCTGTGTCCTCTGCCCTGGCCAGCGTGTGCCACGTGGCTATAGTCGCACTCATAGGGAAGAGGCCCTGCCAGGCCAGGGGCGCCTGCCTGCTTCAGAGTCCCATCCCGAAGGATGCCCCTCTGTGTGCCACCTGCCCTGGGAGTCATCACTGAGGCTCTTTAAATCTTTACTGGACCAGCCACCAAGGGCTCTGGGTTCTAGTCCAGCCTTACCTCAGCACCCCAGCTGGCTGCACTCCCTATAACCAGTCCTCAGACTGGGCCCAGCCGATTCCCGACCTAATGGTGAGCTAAGGGTCTAGGCATGGCCTTTGGCCTTTGGGAGGGTCTGGCTTCCATGCTCTGTCTGCCTCTCCCTGCTCTGAGCCCTCCAGAATCCCCTCCCACAAGGCTTCTTCCATCCACAGTTGACTTTCAGGTGAGAAAGAGCGATGATGCGCTGTTATTCCCACCGTACTGCCTGTCCTCCGAGACCTTTCCCACTCCTAGAGAGGGAGACTCTCCCATGAGTCGCTTCTCGGGAATTCTGCTGTCTGTGCAGGTGGTGGGTGCCGCAAGCAGATAGAAGATGCTGCCTACCCTCAAGGAGCTTACAATTTAAATGACCAGGATACACACACACACCCCAAAACCACATATAAATTCTTCCCCTCCCAAGAATCCGTATAACAAAAGATTTAAAACATGCAAGTGTGTATCTGGTTGTATCAAAGGAAATAAATACCAACTTAATTTCAGAAGAAAGAAAATGGAAGTGTATTTGCCACACATCTCCAAGCCTCATCCTATCATCCAAGTTAAATGCCGTGCCCTCTAACACACACACACACATACACACACACGGAGTCTCACCCCCTGAGAGGAGCCAGTGAGCCCAGAAGTCTTCCCTCCTCAGCCAGCATGATGTGAACATGGGGATTGGGTGAGAGGGCCTCCCTCACCCACCTCATCCTTCTTCCTCACACCAACTCTGGCCAGGGTTTGCACATCCTCAGGTAAGAGGAGGCCCAGGAGACTGTGAGAGACAGCAGTGCCTCCCTGAGGAGCAGCCTGCCTTTCCCTCCCTGTTGTCTGTGGCCAGGATGGAGTTGAGCAGTCTCACAACCAGCAGCCTGTTCATGCTTGAGGAGTGGGAAGTGCATCCTCCCTGTCACCCGCATGTTCATTTCATCATTTACTAGACTTCTCCTCACCCCTCCACCAGCCCTGCCTGCCTTCCCAGAGACCTTCCGCCCATGCCTGGCTCAGCCCCAAGGGCTCTCTGGGGAGCCTGAAACCATTGGCCCTGGTGGGAGTAAGACTCAGGGTGCCAGGACTCTGAGGGAAAATACAGGCCGCCAACATACCCATCACCCAACATGCCCATCACCCACCCAACATACCCATCTCTGGGGTGACTGGCAGGAATGCACTTGAATTTGGGGTGGGAGTTCCAACCTAACCAAAAAAGCTTCTCTGTGATCTAGCAGTGCCATCTAGTGGTGGTGGGAGGTTGGCAAAGCATTTTCTGAGGAGGGAGCGAGCTCCGCTCTCCTTCATCATTCCATAAACAGCATTGAGTCCCTGTGATGCCACTCTCCAGGAGAAGTGGCAGAGGCTCTGAAAAACTAAATTGTTTAAGCTGCCTGACAGGTAGTACACTGAATGAATAAAAGGTATGGAACCCAACTATGTGCAAGACACTGCACTGAGCACTTTATATGCCTTAAATTATTTAAACTGCACAGTCCCCCAAGAGGTAGTTATTATTAGTCCCATTTTTCAGATGAGAAAACTGAGGTTCAGAGAGATTAAGTTATGTGCCCAAGCTCCTATAGCTAAAAAGTAGCAAAACTGGATTTAAGCCCATGATCTTTCTTCTAAGTTTTTTCTTATTAAATGTTTTTAATACGGTTGTTATACCTTCTAGTTACAAGTAGTGACACAATGTAAAGCTGTTTAAGAAAGAGGTGGTAACCTGTCTCCACCCCAGTCCTCCCAGAGGTAACCACTATTAGCTTCGTATGTATTCTTCCATGTATTTCTCCTGGCTCAAATATATTGTCAAAAACCTAAATGCACAGAGAAACACCAAAAATTAATGTAACAGGATATGTTTATTGTGAGTAGATATGATTCAAATCGGGCAGTGTCAACCCGAACTCAACTCAATCTGTATTGGGAAGGTGCTCAGAACAGGGGATAGTGAAACCGGGTTCAGTAGGTCATTGTCATGTTAATTTCTCAGGAGATGGCATCACAATATGTATAGGATTCCAGGGTTGGTTGGTTGGAGAAACAGAGTCACTAAGGACATGCCATATGTTTTCCAGTCAGACCCTGGGGTTCCTGCTCCTCGAAGCTGGCTGCACATAGATAATTCTCTAAAAGAGCCCAATACCTAAGGCCAAATGTGCCACTAAGCTGCTTATTAGGCTGTTGGTTGACTTGAACGTGACTTTAGGAAAACAGTTCCTTAAAGGCTGAAGGTTCAAAAGGACACCTAAGGGCAGATGGCCTGAGTGGGTCACCCCAACTCACGGACCCAAAAATCTGGACTCCAGGAGAATTAAAACTGTGTTCTCAATATACTGGTAGTTGGAGGCAGTTTTGGTCATTCTTGTTCTTACTGAAGTGGTATCACACTACATCAGTTACTCTGCAGCCTCCTTTTCTTAGCACACCACACTGCTTCTCAGGTGATTAAAACCAAGCTAACTTGAGAAGTTAGTACCCATTTCTCAGGCCCTTTTCCCCAGGTGCCCAGGACTTCTGTGGGACTCTTGGAAAGGCTTCCCTGCTTCCCAACAAGCCGGGAAGCAGCAGATGGCTGCAAAGAGGGAGAAAGGGGTACTTCCTGGGAAGGGACCCCACCCCGGGAGCCAGCCTGTTCCCGGACGACCTCATGACCTCATGGCAGCCTGTGCTTCCTTCCAGGCCCTGCCCTATGTGGCTCTCTTGATAGTGATGCTGTTCTTCATCTACGCTGTGATTGGAATGCAGGTAGGAAGAGTTGTCCCATCACTCAGCTACTCCTTTCCTTGTACTTTGTCTTCTCAGTTTCCTGCCCCCTCCTCCTCTAGCTCTTGCTCCTGGTTGTCCCTCTTTCCCTCTGCCTCCTCCACCTTCTGAGGCCAAATAAGCCGCAGGAAAAGGAACTTCCTCCTGTGTGGATGCCCTGAAGGCAGCAGGGTCAAAGGCCAAGTGCAGGATAAGTGGGCTCAAGAGTTCCTCCCCTGATGTCCTCAGGCCTGGGTTCTGCTCCAGGTAGGGAAAACACTCCCAAATTATACAATGGGCCTCAGAAGAGACACAGATCCTTCTGAGATAACTTTGGAAGGGTATGCCGAAAAGCATCCCCATCTTGTTAGGCCTCCAGATGGGCCTGAGAACTACCCCCAACACCATATTGTTCAGGAGAAGCTAAGGAACAAGAGGAAGGAAGGGACAAAGGAAAGAAGAAGGGAAGAAGGGGAGAGGGGAGGGAGGAAGGGAGGGAGGGAGGGGAAATGAAAAGATAGGCAAGGGAAGGGAAGGGAAGGGAAAAGAGAAAAGGGAGGAAGAGAGGGAAGAAGGAAGAAAAATTCTGTTCCCATCAAACACGCAGCAGTCTCCTGGGGCCTTACCTCGCCAGGCCCACTGCACCTTCTCCTACCCAAGCCCAGAGCTCTTCTACCTCCCTTCGGGGCTCCAGCTGAGCTCCGCATGGAAGAACACCCCCAATTCAGCACTCCTCTCTAGCAAGGAGCTTTTCCTCACAGCTCCTTAAGATTCCCCTGTGTGCTCCATTGTAGAAAGGCCCAAAGGTTCACAGGGCAAAGAGCCCTTTGAGATTAAAAGAGCAACCTGGCCACCTGATAAAATGTGGTAGTTTCTAAGATAAGTGTAGCTTTAAAAGGCCGGGGGAAGAAGGAGGCCTCTGATTTCAGGTGAATTAGGCTTGCTAAAGTGCAGGATCTCTCATTCCCTATCGCCCCAAAATTCAAGAACTAAATTTGGCAGAGTGCCTGGGATGCAGAGCTAAAATGGCAAAGAAAAGAAGGCCCACGAGTCCTTCTCATTGGTGAGAGGTTCAGTCTGAGTGTCCACCCACTCTCAGCCTCCAGCTCCCATGGGACCACAGAGACTTTTCCTGAGGGCCCATGAGACTCTTCTTACGCTTTTCTGTTGTGGAGAATTGGGATGGGGGGCCCGACAGGGCAGCCAGTGCCTGCCCCCTCCACACACACACATTGCACTGCCAGGTGACCTCACATCAAGTGACTTTATCCAACTTATGCACAGGCCATCCTGCTCCAGGGTCAGGTGTGACCCTTGAAGAGACCATTGAACAGTGGGTGGGAATGGGAGACCTCTCTGTCCACGACTCATCAAAGCCCTCTTTCCCTCTGTCTGCTAGGTGTTTGGAAAAATTGCCCTGAATGACACCACAGAGATCAACCGGAACAACAACTTTCAGACCTTCCCTCAAGCTGTGCTGCTCCTCTTCAGGTGGGTCTCTGAGGATACAGGTGCACACATACACACCTGCATGATGCAGGTCTAGATGTAGAATGAGAGGGAGCCCTGCGCAGGGAGTGGGGAGAGAGAGAACTGGTGCTGGATCTCCCTCCCCTGACTAGGGAGCTGAGAGTTTCATTATTACTCATATTAACTTTCCACTGAGCAACCCACTGGGCACTGGCATACCTGCTGATAATGCTCTGAAACCATGAGGGGACCAAAAGTAAGGTACTGAACACACCCTCGTTGGGAATCTGAACAGGCTCAAATCCAAGCCTGCAACATACTCACTTTGTGACCTTGAGCAAGACACCTGACTTCTCTGAACTCCTGTTCCTGATAAAATAAGTGTAGGTATAGATCACCTAGTATGTCAGTGCCATTTGCTATGTTAGGTGGGTATATCCACATACACTTAGTTTCATCCTCATTTAAACCAAGGGTCTGCAGCCTGGAGAGCTCGACAAAGGCATGCTTGAGCCTCCACACCTTTGGAAGGCCACCTGCCTCACACAACAGCTGGGGGAAGGGGATGTTTCTCATGCCTGCCCTGCTTCTCCTTTCTCATCGGGATTATAACGATGCTCCTTGGTCAGCCTCTGGCTTCTACTCACTTTCCTGCTCTCACAACCTAGAACTCTGGGACCGCCAAGTCCGGTGCTGGTAGACGACAACTATTTATGCTAGCCCTGGACCAGATGATTTCTAAAGTCATTCTAGCTCGTATATTCTACAAACACTGGGCCTTTTTCCATTCCCTGAGGCCCCTTTCCAGAGGGCCCAGGGACCTTCTCTATCAGACAGCCCCACCTTCACCATGTTCTATGGAACCTTTTCCTCACACCCAAGTCAACCCATTATTGCTCAAAATGCATTGTATCAAAATGGTGGGCTCCCTGAATATCAGTGTGACATCACCACCTCCCTCAGAGCATAAGCTCTCAGAAAGCAAGGGCCATTATAACCTGCTATGTAAAAACACTTTGCCATATTTAAGTACAGGATTTGGACACAGCAGAATGAGCACAGGAATCTATCTCCCCTCCTTATCTAAAGTCCTTGATAATATAAAATATCTTTAAAAAGAATAAATCCATAATAGTTCTAGGGAAAAAAAAAAAGTAAAGAGTGCTATAAAAAAAAGTTTTCTTTTTTAAACCCATTGTCATCCAGTTGATTCATAGTGACCCTATAGGACAGAGTAGAACTGCCCCACAGGGTTTCCAAGGCTGTAAATCTTTATGGGAGCAGACTGCCACATCTTTCTCCTGCAGAGTGGCTGTTGGGTTCAGACCACCAACCTTTCAGTTAGCAGCTGAGCGCTTTAACCACTTCACCACCAGGGCTCTTCAAGAGTGAACCAAAATGCTGAGGAATTCCTAAATTGGAAGAAAGCAGATGACAATTGACAAACAAAACCTGAGAAAAATACACCCCTAAACAGATACTACATTGGGTAAATCTGCAAAAGACCTCTTTAAATTGTTAAAAAGCAAAGATGTCACTTGGAGAACTAAGGTGCACCTGAACCAAGCCATAGTGTTTCCAACCGCCTCATGTGCATGCGAAAGCTGGACAATGAATAAAGAAGACCGAAGAATTGACATCTTTGAATTAGGGTGTTGGCGAAGAATATTGACTATCCCATGGACTGCCAGAAGAACGAACAAATCTGTCTTGGAAGAAGTACAGCCAGAATCCTTCGTAGAAGCAAAGATGGCGAGTCTTTGTCTCACATACTTTGGACATGTTATCAGGAGGGACCAGTCCCTGGGGAAGGATATCATGTTTGGTAAAGTAGAGGGTCAGCAAAAAAGAGGAAGACCTTAAATGAGATGGATTGACACAGTGGCTGCAACAATGGGCTCAAGCATAGCAATGATTGTGAGGAAGGCACAGGACGAGGCAGTGTTCTGTTGTACACAGGGTCGCTATGAGTCGGGACTGACTCAACGGCACCTAATAACAACAGCAACAAACAGGGTGAGGAAATGACAGCAATTCTGGGGGCTCTCTGAGCTCAGGACCAACAAATCCAAGGCCCAGGAGAGGCCGGGGGCCACGACCGGGCGGATTCCTGGGGACTTGCATTTGGAGAGCATTTGCTACTGCTGAGAAGCTGACAGAAACAGAACCACACTTCAGGCTGGACATTGGGGTCTGAGAGGCAGAACAGTGCCCCCCAGGGTAGTCTTCCAGTGAACCCTATCCTCCAAAAGAAGCTTCCTGCCTACCCCACATAGCAGCACATCCTGTCTTTCTTCCAGCACAACATCCCCAGAAAGAGGCTCCTGTAATGAGCACCTTAGCCATAGAGATGGGAACTAGGGCTCTCACTCACAAGAACAATCAGCAATAATCCCCCACGTAGTCAAGGAAGACCAGTACCACGAAAGATAGCCATTACGCTCAACAAACAGATGAATGGACACCTCAGGAGGAAAAAAAACGAATAGAGCCAAAGCATTTGAAAATAAATCTGATTCATAGCTTTAGGGACATTAGACAGCATATTGCATCTATTAAATTAAAAAAAGAGAAGAACAAATTAGAACTTAGGAAAGAAAATGCAATGGTTGAAATAAAAGACTTAAAAAGGGAGATGGGCTGTATAGCAGAATGGACACAGCTAAAGAATGGATTAATTAATGAGCTGAAAGATCAAACCAGGGGATTCTCTATCTGCAGCCAAAATGACAAAGAGATTGAAAATATGAAATAAAAGTTAAAACATGGAAGATAGAGCCACAAAATCCCATCTGTCTAATAGAAACTAGACAAAAAGAACAGAAGGAGTGGAGAGGATGAAATACAGGAATAATCAAAGAAAATTTCAAATGAAGACATGAGCCTTCAGATTGAAATAGCCTACTAAGTGAAGAATAGATTAATCAAGAAAGACCCTTAACTACGCACGTTATGATGAGTTTTTAGAATACCAAGGATAAAGAAAATATCCTACAAGCTCTCAAAGAGGAAAAAATGAATTACTTTCAAAAGTATAAGAATCGTTTGGCATTTAGACTTCTTATCAGCAAAAGTGCGTACTAAAAGACAATGGAATGTATACCATATTTTTTGCAACTACTACACCCACATAAATTATGTGCAGACACATATAACACGTGGAAATGACAAAATTATGTTTAAAAGTTTTGGCATAGCATGCCCATGCATAAACCATGTATGTCTTGTGACATTTCCAGAAGTGAATTTCGGCCTCATTCACCCTCATTCAATAGTCCAAAAATGTTACTTTTGATCATATTTGTATAATAAAGGTATAAGCCATGGTCAGGAAGTCATGGATCAAGTTTGAGAGTACCCCAGTAATCAGAAAATAAACAATTGAAGCTGCTGTGCATTTGTTTCTATTAATTTAAGTTGATATTATATCCCCGTTGCTCTTGAGTCATTGATCAGAACCTTGAACCTACTGAAGCCTGTCCATAAATCACGTTCTATCAATTGGAAGCATGAGCTAAGTGAAGCCTGCTCTGGCATAATGACATTGAGTGGCTATCAATAGGAATCTTGATTCAGTCTTCATTGACATAATTATCACAGTCTTCTTCCGACTCCGGCTTTTAGTTGTAGGAGTAAACAAAGCCAAACTGATGCACAATCGCTTTTGGCTGAACAGCTGAATGTGAAAAGCTTATCAGATCATCTTAAGTGAAACCATTAAGCTATTAGGTCTGCTTATTTCATAGTTTAATTATGTCGTATTAGCGCCAATGTCTTTGATCAATAATCATAAGTCACCTTAGCCATATGCTTGTGAGTATATAAAAAGACCCTTGCTTCTTGTACACCTCACATTTGAATTTTGTGATCTCTTTACTAGAACCAGCCAGTTATCAATTATATTGTGCACATTTTTTTTCAGTTTATAAATCTAAATCTTAGAACCCTTTAGAATCATGGCAGGAATTAAACACAAGTCCTACACCACCGAATTCAAATGAGTGACATTGTGAGGGCAGAAGAAACAAGCAACAGAGTGGCAGCAAGAGAGTTTGAGGTTGTAGAGTCGTCCATTCGCAAATGGAGAAAGGAGAAAAGGGAGCTGGGGAAAATGAATCCGTGAAAACACACATACTGTCGGCCCAAAGCGAAACGGCCTGAATTAGAGATCGACTTGAAAGAGTGGCTTATTTCTCAAAGAGAACAAATCAAGCTGTCTGTACTGTCGCAATTTAGATGAAAGCGAAACTTCTGGCAAATGAAAGAGGAAATCCAGATTTCGAGGAGGGTTTCACCTGAATTTCTAAATTCATGAAAAGGAATGGCCTTTCCATGAGAATGGGAACCACTGTAGGCCAGCAACTGCCAGATGACTGGGAGCAAAAGATGGTCAACTTCTGCGAGTTCGTCACTAAAGAAATCCCTGAACTTGGTATCTCTGCAGTGGACATAATTAATATCAGTGAGGTTCTGACGTCTTCCAATATTCCGGCCACAGCACTGTAGCTGCTTCAGGCACGAAAACTGTAGCGATTACCACCACTGGGCACAAGAGAGCTTGCTTCCCTGTAGTCCTTGGTTGTACTGTGAGTGGGGTGAAATTAAAGCCTGTGGTGATTTTCAAGAGTTACCATGCCCCGTGAAAACTGCTTATCAGTATGGTGGTTCATTGTAACAAGAAGGGATGGATGGACTATGATGTTATGAAAGTATAGGTAGATAAATGTTATAAGGCCAGGCAAGGGGGGATTCTTTTCAAAGAAGTCTTTACTAATTTTTGACACCATGGTTGCTCACAAAGAAAAAAGCATTCAAAATTATATTAACTCAACTGGTGCCCATATAGAAGTCATACCTGGTGGCCTTACCTGCAAGCTGCAGCCATTAGATATAGCAGTCAACTGCCTGTTCAAGACTTCCGTGAGAAGAGAGTGGGATGAATGCATGCAGTCTGGGATTCATGTGTTCACACCATCAGGACTACTGAAGCAGGCGATGTTTGCAGAAGTCTGCAAGTGGGT